TAAATTACATTGATGTTAATCACTTCAATGCATACTACACAATTAATATCTGTGCTCACCACAAACTTAAAGATTATTAAAAGTATGACAGCATACACATCTGGCTGATTTTTCACATAATTGGGCACACCAATTTCTCCTGGTACCACAAATAAGGGTCCTAACAAACAAACACTGCAAGACTCTGTGTTCGATTAATTAGGACTTAAATCCACAAGACGAAAGCGATTCCAAGTTGCAGCTCGAGCCTGGTCTTCTGTACAATATGGTAGCACTCCATCTCACCTCTTCTCCTTTTCCCGCCATATTTAGGGTAAGCTATCTAGTGACATACAATGTAGGTGTTCATTATTTCCTTTTTTAAAAGTAATTTCTTTGTTTTTTTTTTAACGTTTATTTATTTTTGAGATAGAGAGAGAGCATGAACGGGTGAGGGTCAGAGAGAGAGGGAGATACAGAATCCGAAGCAGGCTCCAGGCTCTGAGCTGTCAGCACAGTGCTCGACGCGGGGCTTGAACCCACGGACCGCGAGATCATGACCTGAGCCGGAGTCAGACGCTTAACCGACTGAGCCACCCAGGCGCCCCTAAGAGTAATTTCTTAAAAGAACATAATTTATACAGAATTCAAATCCATTATCTGCCATTTAACCCTGTTCATATCCTGACTAATACCCATTTGTCTTTGATGAGGTAGAAAAGGTTTCCATAAGGCTTCATGTAACAAAATGGGTCAGGACTGAACCAAGTGGGTATATTTAATACCAACTCCATTAGGTCACATTTCCCCAGCAAGGTAGTCCTATTTACCCAGAAAACAGCAATGCTTAATCTGAGGTTCACGGACAAGCTCAGTATTTAATGGTAATAACCTAATGCTTATAACTGTTATCATCAGGAATTGTTTTAGGTAGCAAAGAAAAGGATATTAAAAAATAATAGCTATATATTTGCTGTGATGTTTATTAAACAAAATACATATAGCAAATAAAAATCCTAACTTGATAGATATTTTTACACAGGTCTTTGTTAGGGAAAAGTGATAGAGTGACTTAAAGGCAAATTCTTTATTATTATTATTATTATTATTATTTTATTATTTATTTGTTTATTTTTTCTTTTTTTAAATTTAACATTTATTTATTTTTGAGAGACAGAGAGAGAAAGAGCATGAGCAAGGGAGGGGCAGAGAGAGAGGGAGACACAGAAGCTGAAGCAGGCTCCAGGCTCTGAGCTGTCAGCACAGAGCCTGATGCAGGACTTGAACCCACGAACTGGGAGATCATGACCTGAGCCAAAGTCGGATGCTCAACCGACTGAGCCACCCAGGCGTCCCATTTTTTTATTAATTTTTAAATGCTTATTTATTTTTTAGAGAGAGAGCGAGCGAGTGCATGGGAGGGGCAAAGAGCGAGAGGGACAGAGTACCTGAAGCAGGCTGTGAGCAGTCAGCGCACAGCCTGATGCAGGGCTGGCATTCACAAACAGTGAGATCATGATCTGAGCCAAAGTCAGACGCTTAACCAACTGAGCCACGCAGTTGCCCCTTAAAGACAAATTCTAAATGAGGTAAAGGCACAGATGACCTGTGGATATGGGAAGAAAACTGGTCCTCGAATCAATGAAGTTAGGATAAGTCTTTAGGATAAATGGACTCCTTAAATTGTAAGCAAAACGTGGTGAATATGTAATTTTGTTCCTCTTTTCCAGGTCTACGGGATTTTTATTTGTATCTGTTTATTTATTTATTTATTTATTTATTTATTTATTTATTTATTTATTATTTTAATGTTTATTTATTTTTGAGGGGGGGGAGGGGCAGAGAGAGAGGGAGACAGAGAATCCGAAGCAGGCTCCAGGCTCTGAGCTGTCAGCACAGAGCCCGACGCGGGCTCAAGCTCACGGACCGCGAGATCATGACCTGAGCTGAAGTTGGTCACTTAACCTACTGGGCTTCCCAGACGCCCCAAGGTTTATGGGACCTTTAAAGGGCTTTTAAGAAGGTTAAGAGCTGCTGACTTTAAGGGTTTGGGCCGATTGAAAAGTGAGGGTCTAATGTAACTCCTCATAGGAGATCTCAAATAATTCCACATGCATGCACACTGGCTGCTGAATCTCATGTACTTAAGTATCTTCTTTTCTCACTGCCATCAAGACACGGGGCTGCCTGTCTGCAGAGAGAGATGGGGTTAAACCACCAAGTGTTGGCCAATGACTGACAGAGCTTTAGCGCCCAATGACTGAGTGCCTTAGGCATTTGAGGCAGGAGGCTTTTGCGTTATCCTACAGCTGCTGGTGTTCAGGAGAGGAAAGCTGGTAGGAAATGAGGTAGAGAATTCCAGTAGTGTTTGAAGGAGCTACTTAAGGAATTCCTAGCTGACTCTGCCAAGTAGTCAGTAATGCTCCAGGAATGGAAGGTAGTGAACTGTCAGGTGACTTTCTTGAGCACAGAGTCTTATTTAAGATGCCAAACCAGACTCTAAATTCCCATTCAGATTAATATAATGGTTGATAACTCTTAACCTTCTTTTATGCAAAAAGCCTTTCTCTTTATATACATTCTATATAGGGAAGTATCAACAGTAAAATGTCTGTGTGGTTCACTTTGGATAACAACAACAATAATAATAATAATAATAATAATAAACCCAGCCTCCTATATGAGGGTGCCATGTTAGAATTCACAAGTGATAGACAGGTGTGTCTTCGTTTTTGGAAGGCACTGGTCACTTCCCTCTGGTGGAGGGCCTGCGGTACTCTGTAAGACTTAAGTCAGTCAAATGGATTCAGAGAGGAAGCTCTATTCCTTTTCCTAGAAGGACAAACCTCTCTTGAATCTACAGGACACGGAAGACAAAGACACTCTGGGGACCCGGAAAGAGTTTAGGGGTGGGGACTGGGTGAACTTCTAGTCAGGTTTCACAAAGGAGTTCATGTATTATTAAAGCTAATGGGCCCCTACAAGGAAAGTTAATGGATATTAAGTTTGCTTAAATGAATTACATATTAACAAAGTCACAAGAAATCTACTATCTGCCAATTTAGATAATATCTGATCATTTCTGTTTTCCCATTATAGGGACATTACACCACAATAGTTTTAGTGATATGAAAATTATAAGCATGATGCCCATAATGAAGCTACATAATGAAGGAGACGAGATGAATTAACAAGAAAAACCTGCATTATGTAATGTTAAATTGAGCCCAACTCACAGAGCAGGAAAAGGTTGAGAACGAGATCGGTGTCTTAGGAGCAACTTTTTATACCTTTTCCCGGCCCCTGTTTGGCTCGGGCAATTCAAACGTGTGATGGAGACCATAGTGGGCTGAACGGTGGCCCCCAAAAGATAGGCCCAGGTCCTAACTCCGGAGCCTGCGAATGCGACCTGACTTGGAAAAAGAGGTCTTTGCGGATGTAATCAAGTTCAGGATTGTGAGATGGGACCATTCTGGATTAGCAGGGTGGGCACTAACTCCCACAGCAAGTGTCCTTACAAGAGACATGCAGAGAAGAGAAGGCTGTGTCGAGGCAATGCAAGAGACTGGAAAGAGGCAGCCACAGATCAGGGAATACTGGGGCCCCCAGAAACCAGAAAAGACAAGGAAGCCTTTTCTCCTGGAGGCTTTTGAGGGAGTGTGGCCCTGTCAACCGTTTGATTTTAGACACCTGCCCTCTAGAACCATGAGAAAATAAATTTGTTGTTCTAAGCCACCAAGTTTGTGGTAATTTATTAGAGTGGCTCTAGCAAACGAACGGACGGATTCACAGGTGGTAATGCTTTGTGTCTATCAGACCTCCCCCCCAGTCACTCCGTTTCCAACCAAACTCTTACAGCATTTCCACGATGTACATTCACCTATCACCTGCAAGTTTTTCACAGGCCTCTCAGTTATAGAGGCTCCCTGATTAAAAAAAAAAAAAAAAAAGTGAGAAGTTGGCTACTTGGTCGCAACTTTGCTGCAAGGATGGTTTTGTGCAGAAAACATTTTGGCGAGCGGAAGAGTCCAGAGAGAAAACAAGGGGACCA